AACTGTAAGCCTGCTGCGTGTGGAAGGCAAGGTGGTTTAATTGAAGTATCAGAAAATCCTAGGAGAAAATGTCATGCTGTATGTGAGGAAGCTGAAGCTTAGGCGTCATTGGACATTCCAAGAAGACAATGGTCCCAAGCATAGTCAAATTGTAAGGCTTGATTGCAGAAGAAGTCCTGGACATAGAAACATAGAAACATAGAATGTGACGGCAGATAAGAATCATTCGACCCATCTAGTCTGCCCAATTTTCTAAATACTTTCATTAGTCCCTAGTCTTATCTTATAGTTAGGATAGCCTTATGCCTATCCCAATTCTACAGTGGCCATCACAGTCAACTGACCTAAACCCAATGGAAAATCTCTGGTGGGATTTGATGAATGCAGTTGCAGCACGCAAACCCAAAAATATTACTGAACTGCAGTCCATTGCTCATGAGCAATTGGCTAAGTTTCGTTAGGAACTCTGCCATAAGCTTGTGTCTGGCTATGCATCTTGTTTACAGCAGGTTATAACAGCAAAAGGGTGCTCTACTTGGTACTAAAGATGCTTGCCGTGAAAGGGTTGAATAATTTTGAGACTGGAGAAGTCATTATAGGTTGCATTTTCAATTGAATTTGGAGAAACTACTTGAAGCATTTGTTGTGTTGAGCTATTTTAATTGCTTTTGTTTGTTTTGTGCATTGCAAACAACTGAGTCTGTGAAGTTTGACAGTAAACTTGATTTTAATGGGGGTTTAATAATTTTGGTTACAACTTTAAGTGTGTGGATGTGGGTTGCTTATAGTATTTGGGTTTGTGGTGGTGGCTGTCTATGGTGTTCTGTGTGTGGCTGTTTGTGGGGTTGTGAATGCATGGGCTGTCAGTAGTGTTGTGTTTATACTGTGTGTGTGTGTGTTATTTGCAGGGGTGTTGTAGAGGTGCTTTTTTCAAAAATTAAGTTATAAAACGTTTTCTTATGACATTATTTGTTGATTTTAGATAGAACAGTGCAAGGGAATTGCATCGTGGACAAACGTGCAATGTATGTAACAATGTAGAAAGATATAACAAAGCGGATACAATTCGCGTTGGGCAGTGTTTATATGTCTGAGCTACAGACAAACATTACAGTGCTTGCGGTCTTTGTGTGTCTGATTGTGCATGCTGGGTTATCTGGGTCCCAGTGTGTTATAAAACTATTTATGTGCCACTCCCTCTTGCATATCTTTGGCCAGAGAGAGATGGCATTAATTCTAAATTATTCATGGTGGTCAGTTTTGGAACATGTAGTTTGCACAACCTTCTGTTGTGCAGACCCCTTCTGCCTCTGACTCTAGTCTGGTGCTTTAACAATGAGTGAGAGGTAGCCCGCATCAATGATCTGAATCACTTTGAAGTCCTGTATTGCGAAGGAGAGGTTTGTGGTGCCTGCACATGCTGGTGGTATAGACTCCCTTGCGCTCTGGGCGCTCTGGAAATCTAGGTAGAGTGGAGAGATTCCCTAATCTCTCCATCTAGCCTGTTTGGGTCTGCCTTGCATGCCATACAAAAGCACCTTGTGTGCCATATGTTACTGATCCCTCTAATAGAGTGTGCTTTAGAATGGAACAGGCACGTGTGTTTTGTGCGTGCTGAAAAAGAGCACTTTCATTTAGATATAGATTTCTATATATGTACCTACCTGAATAACAATTTAACAATTAAAACGAACTTGGTGTGCCTTAGCATATCCTACAATCATCTAGCAATACCAAAACACTAGAAGGAGATGCATCAGGCAGCAAATGCAAATTCATTGAAATGTGTAGTATTAATTATCACCACAAGATGGCAGTGTGTGATATGATTGTATCTAAGGATGGCAGCCTGTGGGCAGCATGAGCCCAGGGGTCTTGGTTTCATGAGTTTAGGTTGGAAGTAACTCGTTTTCTGCCACAATGCGTCTTGGGATGTACTATATAGTAACACTGATTCATTCTGCCCCCTTCTAAAAAGGACCCTCTCTCCTCACACCATGGCAAGCTAAGAATTTTTTTCTCAGCTCCTTAATCTAACCCCATAACCCCCTATTTTACACAGCATGGTCATTTCCAGCTAGTTATGCCACTTTTAGGTTGACCTGCCTATGGAGGCCTGTGGTGCCACATTGCCCTGAGATTATAATATGCATGGTGCTGATTCTGTTACATTACCAAATACCAACAGTATTTGCCCTTAAGGAATATGAACACTGCAAATATTGTACCAGATTGGATCATTTTACTGAATTTTGCTGATTCAGACCAAATTCAGCCCTGATTGAAAAATCCATCCAGCCATATACTTAGGCAAAGTAAGGGAATAAAATATTATTTATTCACTAAATACAGGATTGTAGTCAACATAACTGTGACTGGAAGGATTTCTGTTAAAATATCTAATTTGAAAAAATTCTCCAAATGACTTACAGTCACATCTTGGCTGTATTAACCTCGACGCTTGACCATTCATGTTTAGTTTCGCTAGAATTTAGAGTTACAGTAAATAATTAGGGAAATGGGGATTGTGAGAATTTCTCCACTTTATAATGCAAGTAAATGAAAAATACCTGAAGTAATTTCTGACAGATATTTTGGGGCATTACGAGAAATTTCCTCTAAAATTCAGTTAGAAATAGCACTTTCATGTTATAGGGACAGCGATGAGTTACGATTAGAGGCATGATGGGGAACATTTACCCTTTCTTTAATCAGTTAGAGAGACCTTTAGCAGTCTGTATTATATGTAGATATTAATGTATAGGTAAAAAAATGTACTCATTCATGGAGGTTGCTTATAAGACATGAATGTTACATGGCTTTAAATGTCCCCTTATAACCTTGTCCCGAATTTTATTTCAGAAGTCCCACTTTTCTAGGATCTCAGAAAAGTTTTTGTGACTGAGTGTATCACCAAGCCCTAGTGCAAACAACACAAAATATAGTGTCGTGTGTATAGGTGTAACACAGAGCTCCACGTCAAGAATATCTATAAGTGTTTATTACAGAGCTCCATAGCAATAAAGCTCAGCAAAGAAAATATTGCAGAGCTGCACAGCAGTAACATTCTAAATAGTGTGTGCTGTGTATTACAGAGCTCCATAGCAATAAAGCTCAGCAAAGAAAATATTGCAGAGCTGCACAGCAGTAACATTCTAAATAGTGTGTGCTGTGTATTACAGAGCTCCATAGCAATAAAGCTCAGCAAAGAAAATATTGCAGAGCTGCACAGCAGTAAAAGCCCCAGTAATATACAATGCGTATAAGTGTATCAAAGCGATCCATAGCAATAAAACTCACAGTAATATGCAGTTTGCACATTCACATCCCCATAAGAGCTTAAGGGGTTACTGTTGTGCATACTGAGATATTTATGGTATCATTACAGCTAAGTGTATTATGACAGCTTATTGAATCATTACAGCTAAGTGTATTATTACAGCTTATTGTATCATTACAGGTCGGTGTATTATTTCAACTCACTATATTGTCCCTTGAATAAATGTCAAATTATTAAACTTTAGCATTGCAGTACATTTCTGCATTAGAGATTGTAAAGGAGAAAGCATTTCATTTATGGTCAGTGCTGCAGTAAACTTTTAGACACTCTGAAATAGATGGCAAGCAGAGGAATTGACAAAAAAAGCTGTGGCAAAATTGTCCCTGCTAATATACCCTCTCACATTTATAGGATAATTTATTATGGAGGTGTAGCGGAGTGGACCTTGTTTGAAGAAACATCAGTAGAATATTTTCTGCAGATCCATTATTTCCTCATGGTAGGAAGCAAATGCAACAACTCTGTCATATACACTGTAACTTAAATTATAACAACAACAATTTCACAGCTGTCCACTTATCACTAAACTTAAACCCCAGCACCCGAGAGCTGCCACTGGCCAGCATGACATTCACTAATTGAACTTCCTGTACCTGTGTCAATCTTTCTTTTATTAAAGGCATATAAGATGGGGTACAGAAGAAAAACAAGGGAAAAGTACGAGAGTTACATCATAGGGTTGATACAACGTTTAGCAATGTTAATGTACATTTCCAAAGTAGCGATGCCTCATTTTAAAAATTTTTTTTATGGTTGTTAAACTATTTATTGAAGATACAAGCTATGGTTCATAGGGTCATGTTAATTAAAGGCGCATCAAGCGGAGAAACTAACTGTTAAACAAGCAGAGGTATCTACCGTGTGTGTTAATATAGTTAAACCATATGCTATACCAAAGGGGTCTGTATATTAACATGCTAGGCTCGAACAATATTCTACATATGTAGAAAAAGGGCAGACATACATGTGTAGCGACCTCACGCCAGAGCTGTCTACGCCCAGAGTAGGTTAAACATCAAGGTTCAAGATATACTGAAACAGTTTCCTAGCCTGATGTTTAACTCAGCTCATTATTTTGAAAATAAAAGCTATGGATCACATTATCCGGTTGGTAACATGCTAGCTAAGTAGCGCAGCCTAAAAACAAAAATAAAAAATGGTTGCATAGTTGTAAGCTTATACAGATAAACGTATTACAGGCTGATTCAGCATGTCAGGGATGGTAAGGCATGTTAGAACATCAGGCTTGTGTCAGTATACATACATGCCCGCTCAAGTGCAGTAAGGCTAGTTGTCGTGTTATAAGGTATATCAAGGAACAGGCATTGCATAGTTACTTAAGTTGCACTAACGGTTAAGTAGAGTTTAGATGCTAGACATGCTGAGCCGTTGCGTCTTGGTTACTAAGAGGCGCACAGTATTGAGAATAAGATGTAAAAAGTACAATATAAATTGCTAAGGCAAGCTGGCGATATAGTATACATCTATCTGTTAGGCGACATTCGTAGAGTATTAACTGTAAAAAAAAAAAAAAAAAACACATTACGGAGCGTGTGAAAAGAAACCTTATGAGTAAAACCCTCAGGGTATGACAGTGTGTCTCTCTCGGTTACTTGGAGCAGTCCAAGGCATCGAGTGCAGCAAGCGTCCATGCAGTTATTCAGCCCACCCCACATGGAGGAGTTGTGCTGTAGTATGTGGTGTCTAGTCCACTTGGTTGTGGGGGGCTGCCTCCTTGGTCCGTCGCTCCATTGAGGCTTGGGTCTGTTTCTCTAGGGTGGGTGTTTTGACCCGCCGGGTGCTTGGCCCTCTGAGTTGTGGTTCCCCTGGTGCACCTCCCAGTTCCATTTCGCTTGAGTATCCTGTGTCTTCGGCCCGAGGCCTTAGCGGAGGCCCTTGCCACAAGTCCATTGACCCCATCTCCAGGGTCGTGGGCCCAAGGTTTCGCCGGATTCCGGTTGTTCCCCTGGGTGTATGGGTGGCGGTGAGGAGTAACCCTCAGGTGGGCTCCCTGCTCGGAAGAAGAGTGGGGAGAGCTCTTGGGAGCACGAGGGGTCCCCAGCACTCTGTGGCTGTGCTCCGATGCTGGTTTTCCTCCCATGAGTTTACCTGCAGGCAGAGGATCTCTCCTCCTGCGGCGCCATCTTGGGGCCCTGGGCCGTTTAGGAATAATGCGTTGGTGGTTGTGTTGCTTAAATTGTTCTTTGCTCTGGCATGTGCTCTGGTTATTCAGCCTTGCCCGGTGCTCCAGCTGTGCCCAGAAGGCGTCGAAGAGAGCGGTGAGTTTGGCTTCATAGTCTGGCATGACTGTGTGGCGTTCAGATATCTCGCCTGGTGCGCTAACTGTCGCCATTTTAGTTGCGCCTCGTGTTCGCCTGTCCTGTTGCTGTGTTGCCCCATGTTGTAGGCTCAGCCTGTAGCCACCTCTCCAGTCGCTTGTTGTGGACCGAGATGACCCCCATCGGACCAGAGGGGGGGGTAGGAGGTGATGCCCCCGAGGTATACCCGACCAGGTCAGTCAGCGCGGGAAGCGGCCGTCTCCCCGGCGCTTGATCTCTGGTAGGCCTCAGGGTTCCCTTTCGGGTTCCCGGTGTGGTATAATCTTGAATTTGGTGTCGGTCTATTCTCCCGGGTATCCCCGACATGATTTCTCGTCTTTGGTGTGCGACTGTGCCGTGTTTTTTGGGGTTTACCCCCTCGAAGTTCAATAAGTAGCAGGAGCCGAAGTGTAGCACAGCCGCTCAGCCTGAGTGCCAGGCTCCGCCCCCCGGTGCGCCTCTTTTAAGCCCCAGTAACTGCAACAGCAGATACTAATCAGCTACATTGCAACATCGGGTCGACAGACTCCTGCAAATGAACTCTTTGCTCAAGGAATTGCTTCTACACACTATTACAGGAGGTTAAATGCTGAGTTGTGAGGAAAAAAAACCTCTCACTCTCATTTATTTTTCTCTCTCGAAATGAAGGAATTTGAACAAGAAAGAAATGCCTTCTAGCCAAACCTTTCTATTTAATTTAAAGTGAACCTGTCACTCTGGTTTTTGCATATTTTGCAGAGCCCTTGGAGAAGACATCTCTGGTTAGGGTCCGGTGGCCGAGAGGTGCAGTGGTAAGTAGGGTTACTTACCTAGAGCTGTCCTTCGCAACCCTTGTCATTTGCCTGGAGCCACATCAGTTCTGTACTCTTGCAGGACTGTGGGAGCCCACCAAATAATAATTTTGGTAATTCTACCAAAAGAAAGGGTGAAATGATTTAAATTAGCTATGGACCAACAGGTTTGTCTAGTTGTTTTATTACCCGTTTTTATTGCCCATATCAATAATTATTACCGTTATCATAGTGCCAGCAGCACTACCAGCGCAGTGCTTTACAATTACAAAACATTGCGGATAAAAAACAAGTATTAACATACTAAAGGTGAAGAGGCCCTATTCAAACAAGCTGACAATCTAATAACAAAGTGAGGAAATACAGTTCACTAGCCAGCTGCTGACAGAGAGAAGTCACCAATCTGCTCTACTAATGCAGATCTAATGAGTACTTTTTAGTTTGATGAAATTCATGATAATGTTATGAAGGGTATTACAACAAGTGACAGTACATTATATAATATTTACAGCGACACCTTCCTTCCAACTAAATATATCCTGCATGAAATAATGTGAGCAAACTGGAAGCTGTTATGAGTTGCAGTATATATGTGAAAAAACAAAAAACAAACAAGATTAACCCATCCATGGTGTGTGCAATTGATTAGTGATCTGAATAGAATCCATTTCATGAAGACAATTAATGCGGTGAACTAAAAAGTGACTTTCAAAATTTTGCTAAATTAAATTAACAAACCGTGATTATAGCTGACCCGGAGAATCTTACCAGTTCAGCTTTTTGCCTGCATTTTAAACTCTGGTGATTAAAACCTATTGCAGTTTATTTCTTAAAGTAGGAATTATGGTGGTTTAACAAGCAAACTGTAAATGTTATTCCAGAATAATCACAATTAAAACAATCTGCAACATACTCCAAAATGGGAACATTCTGCAACATTCTCCAAAATGGGAACATTCTGCAACATACTCCAAAATGGGAACATTCTGCAACATTCTCCAAAATGGGAACATTCTGCAACATACTCCAAAATGGGAACATTCTGCAACATACCCCAAAATGGGAACATTCTGCAACATACTCCAAAATGGGAACATTCTGCAACATACCCCAAAATGGGAACATTATGCAACATTCTCCGAAAAGGGAACATTCTCCAAAATGGGAACATTCTGCAACATACTCCAAAGTGGGAACATTCTGCAACATTCTCCAAAATGGGAACATTCTGCAACATACCCCAAAATGGGAACATTATGCAACATTCTCCGAAAAGGGAACATTCTCCAAAATGGGAACATTCTGCAACATACTCCAAAGTGGGAACATTCTGCAACATACTCCAAAATGGGAACATTCTGCAACATTCTCCAAAATGGGAACATTCTGCAACATACTCCAAAATGGGAACATTCTGCAACATAATCCAAAATGGGAACATTCTGCAACATTCTCCAAAATGGGAACATTCTGCAACATACTCCAAAATGGGAACATTCTGCAACATTCTCCAAAATGGGAACATTCTGCAACATACCCCAAAATGGGAACATTATGCAACATTCTCCGAAAAAGGAACATTCTCCAAAATGGGAACATTCTGCAACATACTCCAAAATGGGAACATCCTGCAACATTCTCCAAAATGGGAACATCCTGCAACATACTCCAAAATGGGAACATTCTGCAACATACTCCAAAATGGGAACATCCTGCAACATTCTCCAAAATGGGAACATCCTGCAACATACTCCAAAATGGGAACATTCTGCAACATACTCCAAAATGGGAACATCCTGCAACATACCCCAAAATGGGAACATTATGCAACATTCTCCGAAATGGGAACATTCTCCAAAATGGGAACATTCTGCAACATACTCCAAAATGGGAACATCCTGCAACATTCTCCAAAATGGGAACATCCTGCAACATACTCCAAAATGGGAACATTCTGCAACATACTCCAAAATGGGAACATTCTGCAACATTCTCCAAAATGGGAACATTCTGCAACATACTCCAAAATGGGAACATTCTGCAACATACTCCAAAATGGGAACATTCTGCAACATTCTCCAAAATGGGAACATTCTCCAAAATGGGAACATCCTGCAACATACTCCAAAATGGGAACATTCTGCAACATACTCCAAAATGGGAACATCCTGCAACATACTCCAAAATGGGAACATCCTGCAACATACTCCAAAATGGGAACATTCTGCAACATACTCCAAAATGGGAACATTCTGCAACATTCTCCAAAATGGGAACATTCTGCAACATTCTCCAAAATGGGAACATTCTGCAACATTCTCCAAAATGGGAACATTCTGCAACATTCTCCAAAATGGGAACATTCTGCAACATACTCCAAAATGGGAACATTCTGCAACATTCTCCAAAATGGGAACATTCTGCAACATTCTCCAAAATGGGAACATTCTACAACATTCTCCAAAATGGGAACATTCTGCAACATTCTCCGAAATGGGAACATTCTCCAAAATGGGAACATTCTGCAACATTCTCCAAAATAGGAACATTCTGCAACATTCTACAAAATGGGAACATTCTGCAACATTCTACAAAATGGGAACATTCTCCAAAATGGGAACATTCTGCAACATTGTACAAAATGGAACATTCTGCAACATTGTACAAAATGGAACATTCTGCAACATTCTAGAAAATGGGAATATTATGCAACATACTACAAAATAGGAACATTCTGCAACATTCTCCAAAACGGGAACATTTTGCAACATTCTCCGAAATGGGAACATTATGCAACATACTCCAAAATGGGAACATTCTGCAACATTCTAGAAAATGGGAATATTATGCAACATTCTACAAAATAGGAACATTCTGCAACATTCTCCAAAATGGGAACATTCTGCAACATTCTCCAAAACAGGAACATTCTGCAACATTCTACAAAATAGGAACATTCTGCAGCCTTCTCCAAAATGGGAACATTCTGCAACATACTCCAAAATGGAAACATTCTGCAACATTCTCCAAAATGGGAACATTCTCCAGCCTTCTCCAAAACGGAAACATTCTGCAACATTTTCCAAAATCGGAACATTCTGCAGCCTTCTCCAAAATGGGAACATTCTGCAACATACTCCAAAATGGAAACATTCTGCAACATTCTCCAAAATGGGAACATTCTCCAGCCTTCTCCAAAACGGAAACATTCTGCAACATTTTCCAAAATCGGAACATTCTGCAGCCTTCTCCAAAATGGGAACATTCTGCAACATACTCCAAAATGGAAACATTCTGCAACATTCTCCAAAATGGGAACATTCTCCAGCCTTCTCCAAAACGGAAACATTCTGCAACATTTTCCAAAATCGGAATATTATGCAACATTCTACAAAATAGGAACATTCTGCAACATTCTACAAAATAGGAACATTCTACAACATTCTAGAAAATGGGAATATTATGCAACATTCTACAAAATAGGAACATTCTGCAACATTCTCCAAAACGGGAACATTTTGCAACATTCTCCAAAATGGGAACATTATGCAACATACTCCAAAATGGGAACATCCTGCAACATTCTCCGAAATGGGAACATTCTCCAAAATGGGAACATTCTGCAACATACTCCAAAATGGGAACATTCTGCAACATACTCCAAAATGGGAACATTCTGCAACATTGTACAAAATGGAACATTCTGCATCATTCTCCAAAATGGGAACATTATGCAACATACTCCAAAATGGGAACATTCTGCAACATTCTCCAAAATGGGAACATTCTACAACATTCTAGAAAATGGGAATATTATGCAACATTCTCCAAAACAGGAACATTCTGCAACATTCTACAAAATAGGAACATTCTGCAACATTCTCCAAAATGGGAACATTCTGCAACATTCTCCAAAATGGAAACATTCTGCAACATTCTCCAAAACAGGAACATTCTGCAACATTCTACAAAATAGGAACATTCTGCAACATTCTCCAAAATGGGAACATTCTGCAACATTCTCCAAAATGGAAACATTCTGCAACATTCTCCAAAATGGGAACATTCTCCAGCCTTCTCCAAAACGGAAACATTCTGCAACATTTTCCAAAATCGGAACATTCTGCAGCCTTCTCCAAAACGGGAACATTCTGCAACATTCTCCAAAATGGGAACATTCTGCAACATACTCCAAAATGGGAACATTCTGCAACATTCTCCAAAATGGGAACATTCTGCAACATACTCCAAAATGGGAACATTCTGCAACATTCTCCAAAATGGGAACATTCTGCAGCCTTCTCCAAAACGGGAACAATCTGCAACATTCTCCAAAATGGGAACATTCTGCAACATTCTACAAAATAGGAACATTCTGCAACATTCTACAAAATAGGAACATTCTGCAACATACTCCAAAATGGGAACATTCTGCAGCCTTCTCCAAAACGGGAACATTCTGCAACATTCTCCAAAATGGGAACATTCTGCAACATACTCCAAAATGGGAACATTCTGCAACATTCTCCAAAATGGGAACATTCTGCAACATTCTCCAAAATGGGAACATTCTGCAACATACTCCAAAATGGGAACATTCTGCAACATTCTCCAAAATGGGAACATTCTGCAACATTCTCCAAAATGGGAATATTATGCAACATTCTACAAAATAGGAACATTCTACAGCATTCTAGAAAATGGGAATATTATGCAACATTCTACAAAATAGGAACATTCTGCAACATTCTCCAAAATGGGAACATTATGCAACATACTCCAAAATGGGAACATTCTGCAACATTCTCCAAAATGGGAACATTCTACAACATTCTAGAAAATGGGAATATTATGCAACATTCTACAAAATAGGAACATTCTGCAACATTCTCCAAAATGGGAACATTCTGCAACATTCTCCAAAATGGGAACATTCTGCAGCCTTCTCCAAAACGGAAACATTCTGCAACATTTTCCAAAATGGAAACATTCTGCAACATTCTCCAAAATGGGAACATTCTCAAGCCTTCTCCAAAACGGAAACATTCTGCAACATTTTCCAAAATCGGAACATTCTGCAGCCTTCTCCAAAACGGGAACATTCTGCAACATTCTCCAAAATGGGAACATTCTGCAACATACTCCAAAATGGGAACATTCTGCAACATTCTCCAAAATGGGAACATTCTGCAACATACTCCAAAATGGGAACATTCTGCAACATTCTCCAAAATGGGAACATTCTGCAGCCTTCTCCAAAACGGGAACAATCTGCAACATTCTCCAAAATGGGAACATTCTGCAACATTCTACAAAATAGGAACATTCTGCAACATTCTACAAAATAGGAACATTCTGCAACATACTCCAAAGTGGGAACATTCTGCAGCCTTCTCCAAAATGGGAACATTCTGCAACATTCTCCAAAATGGGAACATTCTGCAACATACTCCAAAATGGGAACATTCTGCAACATTCTCCAAAATGGGAACATTCTGCAACATTCTACAAAATGGGAACATTCTGCAACATACTCCAAAATGGGAACATTCTGCAACATACTCCAAAATGGGAACATTCTGCAACATTCTCCAAAATCGGAACATTCTGCAACATACTCCAAAATGGGAACATTCTGCAACATTCTCCAAAATGGGAACATTCTGCAACATTCTCCAAAATGGGAATATTATGCAACATTCTACAAAATGGGAACATTCTACAACAGTCTAGAAAATGGGAATATTATGCAACATTCTACAAAATAGGAACATTCTGCAACATTCTCCAAAATGGGAACATTCTGCAACATTCTCCAAAATGGGAACATTCTGCAACATTCTCCAAAATGGGAATATTATGCAACATTCTCCAAAATGGGAACATTCTACAACAGTCTAGAAAATGGGAATATTATGCAACATTCTCCAAAATTCTCCAAAATGGGAACATTCTGCAACATTCTGCAACATTCTCCAAAATGGGAATATTATGCAACATTCTACAAAATAGGAACATTCTGCAACATTCTACAAAATAGGAACATTCTGCAACATACTCCAAAACTAGGAACATTCTGCAACATTCTCCAAAATGGGAACGTTCTGTGACATTTTTCAAAATGGCAACTCTGCTATTTTTTCACATGGACCATTTTATTATAAAATTTGCAATGCACTTCTCATAGCACCACAGTTTCTGGTTGATTACACATATAAATCCTGTTAAGTGTGATTTAATGTATTTTATAAAGTCTAAAAATTAAGTGTATGAATCCACATATCTATCCTAGAATCTTTTTAAATATTGCACTTTTGTTTCATCGAACATAGTGGAAGAGGGGAAACTGAAACTTTGTTTCTGCTATCCTCCTGCTTTGCATTGGGTGCCTGGTCTGTGCCTGCACTGAATGTGATTTCCATTGCTAAATAAAGGTTAACACAAGCTCTAAGTGACTTTTAGTGTTTCATTAATTGCTAGCGAGGTGACAGTTCTGCTTTAATTTCTATCTGCTGTTTACATTATAATATATTTAAAAAAAAAAAAAAACGATGTTAAAGTGCAGCTTGAATTAAATCCTGATGTTCAAGCAAGACATTTCTTCAGTCTACACTTGCTATCCTATAGACATACCCGCGCTGGCATTTATAGTGTTTGGACGTAGCGTACATGCTTGAGCAGGCTTTCAGTATTGCCAAAGGTGCGCATGCCTAGCAGAGCATGTATAGTAAACAAAATTACACCAATTGTGATTTTAAAAACATAATCAGTACAGAATGTAGGTAATTTTTAGTAGGTATTTTGGATGGGCGAATAATCTCTCAATTTTCAGTTCCTCTGTAAATTTCAGTTGTTACAACATATGTTTTAAATGTGGTACCAGACTCCTGTCATGTTCTGCACCTAACACTGGGCTGGAGAGTGTGACATTAATATAACCAGTTCAGCTTTAATCCTCTTACTGGGTTGCAACTTTTTAAACCATTTTGAAAGAGGTTTTTGCTCATCTCATTACTTTTCCTAATCTCATTGATAATGTCATTTAATGCTTACTATAAAACAGGGACAATCCACCCTCTCCCCACTACCCTGCAAAAATGTTACCCATCTCCCCCTCCTTTCCTAGGTACTCCCTTCCCCATGAGTTATCTACTTTAATTGTTACTGTACATGAGAAGAACCACCACAGCCATGTTGTCTTTTGGTCTACCAAATTTTCCTGTTTGTACCTGACTTCACATGCGATATTGATTTATCTAGATGTTTATATTACATGCACACATGTTTTAAGCTGTAAATTTAAGAGTTATACTTTTCCTTTTTGCTATCAAACAGATTGTACTTCTGCTGATATGTACCCACTTCCCTTTCTTTTTTTTGTATTCCCAATCTCTGACAAACTAAAACTGAAAATGTATAAATAAAGAATTTGTAAAAAAAAAAAAAAACCAGGGACAATCAAAGTGATAATATGTAATTATTATTATTTTTCAGGTTTTCCTTAATTTACTTCTGTTCGTTACAATTTAAAAAAAAAAAGTAA